CTTTTCGGCTGGAGTGGGCAAGGCAAAAGTCGTGTAGCGTTGTTGTCTTGGTTTACCTGACCTTCGGTGATTTTAACAATGGCAGCCGATGCACTGCTGAATTTGTTCCTTTGTGCGTTCTCTCTTCTGTGCTACCGAACTAGTGAAGTAATGGACGCTACCCCAAACCCTATCCCACGTGTACAGTATCGCGTGCTTCGTTTGTGTGTGCAGCTCTCTTCTTTTTTTTTTTATGCAAGTCCCGGTGGCTCACACTATCGAAACTATTAGTGTCTTGCTATTCGTACGGTCATGTTCCGTTTGTCTGATTTTGGCAACAGTATCTTCTCTCGCATGTCGTCTCTTTTCTTACGCTCGTTCATGTTCTTCCTTTTTTGTTGCGCCGCATGCGTCTCGCCTGCTACATACTGCGCCGCCTGCAGTGCTTGCGGAACTTTCTCTGTGCGAGCGCGAACTCTCCCCCACCTCGGCTTGAGATCCAGTGGGCCGGGTCCCAGGGAGGGCACTGTCCCAGCCTGGACGAAATGCAGATGGATGAGCTGTTCGGCAGACATCCCGATGACCCGGACGTGAGACACGTTGATTTTGTTTGTGTGTGTGTTGTTCTTGTTGTTAACATGGCACAACAAGTCCAACCCTTTCCACGGATAAGGGTCTGGGATTGAGCTCGTTCGTAACCTTTCGTTTCCTTTCATTCTTCAAGGGTCAGGACCTTGCCATGGTTATGTGTGTGTGTGTGTGTGCCGAGAGGAGCTTAACTAACGGAGAGGTTTGGTCGGCCGGTACAGTTGATATTTTATGTACTTGAATCATTTCTACTCTCTCTACTCTCTTCACACACGGAGGCCGCAACCATCAATATATCGGGGTGTTCACAGCTCCCACTTCCTGACACGGAACTCATGTTGCTGCAACAACTCACGCGCGTAATTGCTTGGTCCCTCCACCCTTGGTTGATTACGCCGCGTTCCTTTTTTTGTTGTTGTTAGGATCGTGACGATGTAGATGACGACGACGATAACGCCAGCTTGCTTGGTCCCCCCCCCTTGGTTAATTTCGCCGTTTTTTTTTTTTTTTGTTAGGATCTTGACGAAGTGGATGACGACGACGATAACGCCAGCGAGAGCACTCCCGAGGGCTACGGTCACAATCACATCCACCGCGGTGTGCCTTCCCATAACGGCGGCGGTGGGATCGTCATCGGTAACGGCGGCGGATTCGGAGACTCGATGGACCAGGCGGGACAAAGGTGTGATCAGAAGTGATGAAGCGCCCTGGGGGTGTACTCCTTGCCGTGCATGCGGTTGTAGTTGTTGGGCCATTGACCTCGCATCCCTGCAATGCGAGGGGATAGGCAGGGAGAGGGGGGGAGTGGGGGTGTGTGGGGGGGAATCTTTTGGTGCGGTGTTGTTGGCGTTTTGTTCGGCCGCCCTGCAAGGCAACGCTCTCGTTTGTGTTTTGGTACCTTTCTCCTGTGTGGTCCTGGCTGAGATGTTCAAAGTCCATGCCGACAGACATGTGTGGATTGACGCCAGAATAGATTGGACGAAGCGAAAAAAACATTCACGCACATACAGAAACGCAGCACCCAGGCGTCAAATGCCGCAAGTGACACACGAGATATGACACCCCCTGGATGAATGTCGACTTGGCCACAGCAGAAAGATTGGCGGTGCCGAAAGCGGCAGCGTTGGAGCCGCCTAGTCGAGTTGCGAGAACTTCCCGAAAATGCATCGCTTCATTGACGCATCCTCTTCGTCGTGGAGTGTTCGACTTTCGCAAATCGGTCCGGGGAATGTGGTATCTTACGTCATGGCACCTACGGTCCACGTGGCGAAACGTATGTAGACTTGAGTCTGGTGAACCGAAAAAACACGCAACGCCCAACAGACACTCTGCGGCTTCCCCTGCTGTGTCGTACCTCTTGGTCCCTCATCATCCCTGACTCCGTTTCCTCCCAGCATGGAGCTGGAGCCTCGATCGTTCAGCAGGGCGGCGGGCGGGCAGCGGGGGTACGAGCCAGCGGCGGGCGACATGCCCAATGAGGAGGTGCAGCAGTAAGCGTTGGTTTGAGCCGTTTTGGGCCGTGGAAGCAAGCTTCTGAGTCGTCGAATCACAAACGGTACAGACTCTCGCAAACATTTTACCCCTTGGTATACATGAATCACGTGCGTTTCTGAGGGCATGCATGCGCAGCGGAGGAGCTTTTTCTCTGTGTCTAACTGCTATGTTTTTGTATGCCTGGTCTATTTTTGTCCGAGTAGAGTGAATGGTACTGCTGTGTTCTGCAGACCTCTTGCTGTGCAATGCAGTGTACATATGCCTTCCCTCCAAGGTGCGTGTGACCCCGGCTGGGGAGTCGGCCTTTTTTTTGTAGCCTCATTTTTTTCTGGATGTGGCTCTATTTCCAGTAGTGTTATGTGTGCGTGTTCGTCCCATCTATTCTGGCTCCGGTTTATTGGCCTTTCGGCGTGTATCCGCTGCGTGACCCCGGCTGATACGTCGGGTATGGTATACGAAAGGTGCTGTATACACCCACCATACCTGACGTATCAGCCGGGTTCACGCACGGAAGGTAACACAGGAGCTGTTTTCTTTTATTTGGTCTGTTTTGTCGCCCCACGTTGCCCACTGCTGCACCTGCCTTCGTTTTTGTCGCGAGAAGAGTTCAACCATCCCTTTACCTCGTCTGTGCATGTATCATATGATTTCACGCTGAAACATTCCGAAGCATTATTTACGAGAGTCAGGGATATCTCTTACCTGAAGGAACAATATATTCTGAAACGATTTTAGCGGAGTCGTTTTGTACGCATGGTTTGTAAGATTTCATTCTTAAACAATCGTTAGGAACAGTCAGGGAATCGTTTCAGAATATAATTTTCCTCACGTGAGAGTTATCATGGGGAGCCGAACTGAAAATCATTAAACTCGTCTGGTGCTGACTAGTCTAGTCAAACGGTTTAATGTGGGCCTCGAAAACATATAAGTCCTGAGATCTGAATGACTTTCACTCCGCTGCATATATATTTGAAGCGGAATGAAGCGAGGTGAAAGGCTTTCGGGCCCCAGGACTTTTGACCTTGTTCTTAACGTTCACATCAAACCATTAGACTAGACTAGTCGTGCCAGACGAGTGTACTCATTTCATTGCGGCTTCTAGTGATACCTCTCACTTGAAGTACCATTTCATTCTGAAAAAAAAAATAGGATGGGCACTCACTTGTATTCATAGTAACATTTCATTCCAAATCATAATTCGGAACAACGATGTAGCTCTCGCTTGTCTTAAGTTTTCATTCTGTTGGGACCTCTTGGCTCTCGGCTTGCTGCTCTTTGTTCTCTTGTTGGTGCTGCTGTGTTGTGCGAGGGCAGGACATCGCGTCTAGCGTGCCGATCGATATCACCTTCATGGACCCGTCCGCGATGCACTGGGGGAACGGGAGCGGGAACGGGAACACCAACTCGGGCGCTGGTGCTGCCGGTAAGCGTACAAGAAGTAGAGGTTAGTTGTTGATGGGTACTTGAGAATATGTTGTTGCTGCTGCTGTTGTTGCTGTTTTCTTGGCGTGTTGAACGACAACAGCAACGAGGGCGCTGGTGCTGCCGATGAATGAATATGCAGTGTTGCGTTGTTGTTGGGTTGACGTTAAAATACCGTTCTGGTCTCCGTTCGGTACCTTGTGACACCCTGTATCTGGCTCGGCGAGAGAGAGACAGACAGAGAGAGACAGACAGACACAGAGAGAGAGAGAGAGAGAGAGAGAGAGAGAACCGGAGGTGCTGCCGGAGGTGGGCGAAACGGTGCCAGTAGTATCGCGCGTTAGGCACACCTCCTGCACAACCGGTGCCTACCGCTACCTGGCACCGTGAACCTATTACGGTGCTGAGCCCCCACAACCCGCCGGTAACTGTGCCCTCTTCCTGGTCCCACCGGTATGTCGACCATGACCGTGCCGTCCTTCTTATCCCACCGGCATGTCTATCGCGCAATGACAGCACTGGGCAGATGCGCCAGCTCCGAAGGTTGGGCCGGCGGGGCCGTCGAGCCCGTCAACGGCGGACATGCGGCGGGATTCAGCGGAGGCGGTAGCGGCATCGGCGCTGCGGGGGTCGGGGCCGGGGGGGGCGCGGGGGGGGGGGTAGGGGCGGGGGGGGGGGCGAGCGGGGGCAGCATGGGGGGCGGGACGCCCGCGGCGCTCGCGAAGCGGAAGGTCGGCCTGGACAGCTTCAAGATCGTGCGGGTGATCGGGAAGGGAAGCTTCGGGAAGGTGACGTGTGTGAAAGTTTCACGTTGGGTGTAACAACGCTTTTACTCTCTTTCTCTCTCGGTGCCCTTCACACTGGGATAGAAAGGTGACGCGAAAGTCACGCCCTATCAGCTGTGGGGATAGCGCTTTACCTTGCCTCGCTGATTAGGATGGCAATTTCGGGGTATGGCGTAGGACTGGTTTGTCGAAGCGCTTGCTCTCTGGGTTATCGGAAACAAGGGCAAATCTCCGAAAAGTGACAATTATTTGACGTAGACTATATTACGATGTGTGCATGGCTAGATATTTGCCCCCCACCCTCAAGTTTGTCCCTCTTGTTGTAGTTTGCGTTGTTGGCGATGCACACGATCTGACGCCGCCGTAGTTTGCATGTAAAACATGGCGTGTCATGATCATTGCCTCCGTCTGAGGTACCATGTTTATCACGACTGTAAAAGTCACATGTACGTGATGACACGGGGTGGCATGATCATGAAGTGCATGTGAGATGCTTTTCACGGGTTGACGCGCCATATCAAAATCGTGACGTCATTTCAGGTGTTTCTGGTGAGAGAGAAGGTCGCCGGGGACATCTACGCCATGAAGGTTTTGAGGAAAGACAATGTCATCAAAAGAAATCAGGCGAGGCGGCAGTGATTCTGGAATTGCTAGTTGGCACTGCTGCGTACTCGCGGTACGGTACGTGGAACATCCCAGCGGTGTTTGACGAAAAACGGTATCTGTCCGATCAGTACCGTGTGATGCGGATGATTCCAGTGCTGCTGCTGTAGTCAAGCTCCCTCCCGTCGCTCGCCGTTGCCGTGTACTCCCTATTGTTGTTGTTGTTGCGAAACCAGCAGTTGGCGCCTGCACATGTGAACATCTCATTTTCGCCGAGACTTGCTTTTTTTTTCTCCATGGGGTATGATTCCCCAACAGCGAGTATATAGATCTTATGCATATGTGTAGACTTGTTGGATAAGCACGTGTTCTTTTTGCTAGGGTGAAGCTCTCCTTTTTTTAGCCTGGATTTCTCAACTCCTATGCACATTTTTTTTTCATTTCGAGCGCTGTAACTGTAACAACCCCCAAGTGTGCAGAGACTGGAGTAGCTCATGCCCACAGCCAGCAAAAGGGACATGCAAGACTAACCCCCGCGGAGACGAGAACGGAAAACAAAGCTACGCCGCACGTCACACGCAACACATGTTGGTTATCCCTCACGCCGTCTCCGACGTCTCCGACATCTCCGACATCTCCGACACAGGTGGAGCACACCAAGACAGAAAGAAACGTCCTGGGTTACGTCAAGCACCCCTTCATCGTAGGCCTCAACATGGCCTTCCAGACCCGGGACAAGCTCTTCTTCGTGCTGGACTACTGCGCAGGGGGCGAGCTTTTCTTCCACTTGGTGAGATACTGCAGTACGTACGTAAGCAGGACACGGCCACGAAAGAAGGTCGACGAGACGGGGTAAAGGAAACAGGTAAAAGAATAGATGCATTTTTGTCCCTTTTGTTCTTGCACGAAGTAAAGATGCATTTTTGCCGTTGTTTTTCTCTTGCACGAAGTACCACTTTTTAATGTGTGTACACACACCCCTCTTGGGGGGTTGGGGGTGGAGGGGCGGAGACACATACATATGGGGACCAAGCGCTTGAAGGTTCCCGCGGTGTAGCTTCTGTAGCGATGGCTGTGCCTGCTGGAGAAGATGTAGGTGAGATTCCTCTGCTTGGATTAGTGCGCAAGAATGCTGTGTTTGTGTGCCGAGTGAGGATGTGCCGAAGTAGAGTGAAGTACGTTCTTACATATGAACAAACACCGGGATGGTGAGCGAGGGGAGCGCTCTGACAACATCTTGGCCCACCTTGCCCCTGCAAACACAGTACATCCAAAGACAGCCGTCAGACAGAACGTTACAACCCTTGTCAAGCTTTACGGCCGCAGTAGCCTTCGGGTTCTCCGTTCAAACATGTTGGAAAACGCATGCATCGGAGAAAGTTGGGTTATTCATGTGGGTCTGCGTACCCCCACCCTGTCCTTTTTTCTCTTGAAGACGGCTCCTACAACGTCCAACTCCCCCCGATAAAGTGAAGCGACGGTTGTTGGGACTGGTGCACACCACAGGGAAAGCACGGCAAGTTTCCCGAGCCAAGATCACGGTTCTATTCGGCGGAGATCGCGCTCGCTCTCCAACACGTGCACAGACTGGACATCGTGTACCGAGACCTAAAGCCCGAGAACGTTTTGCTGGACGGAGAAGGTGGGGTTTGGTTCTCTTGTGAATGTCTCCTTGTCTTTCGTAGTTAAGCATCGGCCGCGCTGAACGTGTGCGTGTGTGTGTGTGTTCGTCCCCATCCACTTTACGTTGTCCTGGCGCCAGTCTCGCACACCCTTGTTGCGGAAGTCGGTGTTTTTGTTGTGTGCTGGGTTTTTCATGCCTTCCAATGTCATGCGCCAGTCTGTTTCTGCTGCACGTGCGGGGCGAGTATTGGTGTCGGCGTGCCCATCTATCTCAGTCCTTGTCCTAACCCCTAGCATCGCTAACCATCTGACCCCGGTCCGACTTTTGCCACTCGACAATCCTGACAATCCTTTTCCCTTGCGGTACATATATGCCTCCGACACCAAAAAATATATATATATACATATATATATATATGCCTCCGACAGCAGTATTTGCCGGCCCCACCTTTTGAGACGTGACGTCCACTCACCGCTCGCTGTATTTGATCCTCAGGGCACATCCGATTGACAGACTTCGGATTAAGTAAGGAGGGTATCTCCAACACAACGTCGGGGGCACATTCATTCTGCGGGACCCCTGAGTACCTCGCGCCAGAGATTCTCAACAGACAGGTGCGAACGGGTGCGGTTTGTCAAAAAGTGAAGTAGTGACTGATAAGGGACCGACACTGTTCTTGGGCAAGTAAAGGACAAAGGCAACAACAAATCATGGAGTAAACATGTAGACACACTAGCTATGTCAAGCCTCTGCGTACCTGCGTAGCCGATACTAAATATGGGTAGTCGCTTGTGTTGCATGGACTATTCTTGTGCACGGATACAGGACATTGTGTGCGTGTTCTTCCCATCTTTTCTGGCGCCAATCTACGGTAGTACCTTCCCAATTTCCGTGTTGCAAATATCTATCTTTGACGTACGTCATCAGCCAGGGTGGTCACACATGAGCAAGTGTTTTTGTTGTTTGTTGAAGTGTATATTTTTAGAAAGTAAACATTACCTCACAGAAAGACTACCTGTTCGAGGTATAACCTCAGTCGAAAGGGATGTGGTGAAGTCCTTTCAGTAAGTGGATTGAAACCAACTGGAGACTTGGCTTTTTTTGAGTTTGTGTAAGCCTAACACTGAGTTGTCAGTAATGCCAGTTGGAGCCAAGAACAAAAGTGTTTAGTCTAGGCGGATACATTCTTAATTTGATGTGGAATGTGGCCTTCACAGGGAACATGGTGCAGTGTCGTTGGACAACTTGCTGTTTTTTGAAAGTACTTCGCTCCTGTTTAAGGCGGCTTGAATATAAACTACAGTATGGACGACTGTAGGACTGGACATGTACACGCACCACGATTTTTTTTTCGAATTTTTTTTTTATTTCTTTGGATTTCAAAAGTTGGAGTTGTACTGTAGATTTGAGTGTGGCTGTTTCCCGTTCACCTTGAAATCTACAATGTTATGTTGTTCTTCGTGTAGGTGAAACGTGTTGAAGGGGAGGGGGATACATCGGATAGGTTAGGAGTGATGCTGATTTACAGCAATGGAGTTTAGTCTTTCTTGTGTGTAGCGTATCATCGAGGCAAACGAACAGGCGGCGGTCAGCACAGCGTAGATGCAGTCAATGTAGGTAGAACTTCCCTGTTTTTCACCGAACGGTGTGTGTCGAAGAGTGTTGTCGAGACTGTTTGCGGCGTCTCAGCCATGTTGTAGAGCATCCTTCATGAAGGGCAGTAGCAGCAGCAACGACTAGTAGTCGATTGTAGTAGATCTTAACTGGTACACGACGAAAGGTACACACGCGTTGTATCCAAGTACACACCTGGGAGTTGATACGCAGCAGGACAAGGTGGTGTCAGCTGCGACGTCAATATGGGTGAGCGGCTTTGTACGAAACTCGATACAGCCTTCCCGCCTTGCCTCAAGTCTTATCGGAGGAGAGCCATGTATGTGGTACCACGGCAGGGATCCGAATGCCCGCTGCTCCGAACACATTGGGAGGTTGGCGGTAGGGATACAGCGTGAGAGTATTTTGTGTGCACCGCCTTTGCTCCAGCGGCGCCTACGTGACTTTAGTTTCGGTCAGAGATTTAGTTTTTCAACATATTTGTTACTAATGCTGTTGCCATGTCGTTTCGGGCGACGCCTCTCGCATACACGCGACGTCTGGCATGGAAGGGCAGGTCATTTCTCCCGACACTTGCGGGCGAAACGCCTCACGCATACATGTCAACATGTCAATCCTAACGCTAAGCCCTGCCGTCTGAACAGGGTCACGGTCGTGCGGTGGACTGGTGGTCCCTCGGAGCGCTGCTGTACGAGATGCTTACGGGCCTACCACCCTTCTATTGTCGAGACAGGTGAAGCATCGCTGGGGTATTACAGTAGTTGTGATCGGCCAGTCACAACATTTTTGCGCATACCGTACGGTGCGTCCGTCGCACGGTACAACTCACCCGTACGATACGGTTCGCCCATACGGTACGGTTCGTTCATACGGTACGGTACGCAGTTCTCTTGCCGGGCCCGTAGACCAGACCATCTAATCCACGTTGCCCCCCCCCCCCCCCCCCCCCCCCCCCCCCCCCCCCCCCCCCCCCCCCCCCCCCCCCCCCCCCCCCCTCGGTGCCTCACTTATTGCCCCCAGGGAGAGGCTTTTCGATAAGATCAGGAAGGGTAACCTAACCTACCCCCGATACCTTTCGGGCCACGCTCAAGACATACTTCATGGGGTAAGCACCATGCAACATGTCACTGCGGCCAAGGGCCGCGGTTTGCGATGTTTCCCATCATCGCAATCTCTCGTCTTTTTCAGGGATTGAAATGTCGATGCGATCGAACTTTGGTTCCTATGTAACGGTGTCGCGGGTGTACGAAGTAGTACCAGGCGCGCCTCCGGAGTGGTCTCATCAGAGCTTATTGTAGCAGTAGTTGTGGCATGACGTGATGCTAGATGATGCAAGATGATGCTAAATAGATGGAAGGCAAGCCCGTGTCGGTGTGATTCAGCTGCCAGCTCCCATCAGCAACGTTTGCCGGCCTCGAACAGCTCACACACACGGCTTCACGTGTTTTTGGCTCGAAGAGCCCGGCGAACCTCATCGAACCTGTATTCAGTATTGTGCCCTGCCTTTTCACCCCCAGCTACGATTGTCGCTGCAGTTTGTTTGTACACCCTCCACCCCTCACCCACCCCCCGTTCTCCTCGGCAACATGATCCCGCAAAAACAACAACACAACGACATCAACAAAAACAACAATAAATAGCTTCTCACTCGAGACCCTTCGAAGCGATTGGGAAGCTCGCTCGACGATGCCCAGGAGGTCGAACGGCATCCCTTCTTCGCACCTCTCGACTGGGATCGCGTAATGCGGCGAGAGGTATGTACAGCTGGACGTTTATTCTTTGTTAGTGTTTTCTTTTATTACATCCCGTAGTCAATAAAAAAATGGATTTTCGGTAGTCGTGGTACCTTTTTTTTTGGGGGGGGGGGGGGGGGNGGGGGGGGGGGTGGCGTACGCTTGGTTTGGTAACGCCTGTGGAGTGCTTCCGTAAACCGGGTTACTAATCGCGTTTGCGGCGCAAGTATGGCCGGTCGCCCTGTAGTGCTACATGGCAAGGCCGCTGAAGTCGCGAGACACGGGATGGGCGTTCAATTTGTTTCTCGCGCTACTCTGAGTATTGATTGCTGAGTGCCCCGTATCAAAGGCCAGCCAAATCCCTCGGCAACACGCGGTCTTCCTTACAGATACAGGCACAAGTGTACCATGCTTCGTATCCCAGGTCCCTTTGGACTCGGATTTCGCATCCTTGTGTAGTGTGGCGGTGACTTCTACACGCCTGAGAAACAAGGTGGTCAAGTGAATCGCGGGTGTAATGTGGCCTTTGTTTTCTTTCGTTTACCCACTGGTTTCTCGTTCACACCCGATTCATGACTACACAACACGCACCATCTCTCTCGTACCTCTCGTTCTGTTTTTTTTTTTTTTCTCGCTCCTCGGTCTCCTCCTTCGTGACCCCCACTTTCAGGTGGCCCCGCCATGGGAGCCGGTGCTGGTAGGGTCTTTAGACTCGAGCCAATTCGATCGAGAGTTCACCTCGATGCCGATCTTGAGCCCTGACCAACGGGACCACAAGGTCGGAACCTTCCTCAATACCGTAGGTTGCGTAAGATATCACACCCCCTGGACCGATTTCGATTCGAAGGCCTCCCGTCATTTTCGGGACCGTCACTGGTTTTCCTGCCGAGATATATATAAATATATATATTTATATATATACAACGAGCTTCGAAAATAGGTCCAGAGGGTGTGATATCTTATGCAACCTGCGGTAGCTCGTTCCCGTTGGCGGCGCTTGGCGTTGCAGATAGCAGTGGTCCCGGTATAGTGCCGGTTGAAAATGCCGGTTTCGCTGTATAATGGCGGTGGAATCGCGCGACACAGACGGAATATAAACGTTGTTTATTTCATACTAGGAGTGATGCTGGTTGTCCGCTACTTCCCGCGCACGGATCGCGCCATGAGCACTGGCGCGCAAGTACTACTGCAGTAGGTCGCCGGCACCGCACGCAAGTTCACTCCCCCCCCCCCCCNCCCAGTACCTAACGCCAACCCTGAAACCCTAACGCCCGCCCAAACAGCTGGGACAGAGCATAACTTCTAACGACGACACCTTTGAAGGCTTCACGTTCGTGGACAACTCGAGCCACCTGCTCTACGGAGGTGCGCGGACACCAGCAACGATTGCCGCCGCCGCTTCAGCCGCTGCGGACTACCCGCACGCGGGAGCGGGGGCGGGGGCGAGCTCCGCAAAAGTGACAGCGAAAGCAGCGGCAGCATGCACTTCGATGATGGGCCTGCACTCGTAGCAGCAGCGTGTAGCGGTGGATATGGATGCCATGGACATGCCAGATATATAAGGAAGGGGGAGCGTACACAGGGGGGGGGCTATTTTTTCCCCTGGTTGTTTGTGTGGGTGCGACTTCGAGCAATCAAGCGAGATGATAGGCTGTACTGCCGCCAGAGTTGGGGAGTTCAACGACGAGAGATGAGATAAGCAATCAAGCACGCGCCGTGCCGTCTGTTTTACAGCCTACCGCTCGCACACACAAGAGGCTTGTGCCGGGGGGGCAGGGCATGAGGGTCGTATGTCTATCCTGCCGACGTTATAAGACGGAATATTCGGCCAGTGTGGTGCAAGAGTCGAGCACAACAGCTGAAAAGAAGGGAGGCAGAGAAGACCAGAGGGCGGCGCCTGACTGACTTGTCAAGCGGTGTGAGAAAGCGAGCTGGTCAGGGCAGGCAATCAGCCATTAATTCAAGATGTTAAGCGATGTTAAGCGATCATTCGTTGTGAGTGAAAATCGGCACAAAGAGAGTTGGTTGAGGGTGGTGGGCGATGGAGTACAATACAAGCACGATGCGTTCGGCGAGGATGAGATACTGTTTACCTGTCGTGTGGCGGTCGGTCCTAGGCCGGCTAGCAGCAGTGGCAGGCTTGCATCGCTTGCTCTTGCCGTTGGGGAGAGGGAAGAGAGAGAACCACCAGGGAGACTCGACTAAGGCGGAGATGAGTAGGCGTAGAGGAGAGCGAGAGAGGTGGCGTCACTTGAGAACGAGAGAGGGGAGGGAGGGAGGGAGGGAGAGGATTTGGTCGGCGTTGTGTCCCGCGATGATCATTGCAGAGGTGACTTTCATGCGCGGTAGGCACAGTCGTTCCATCCAGCTGTAGCCCTGAGTGACTGTTGACACAGCAGTTGGTGTGGCGTGCCCCGTGTAACATGCGTTGTTTGTCGTGTGGTGTTTTTTTTCGTCTTGCGAACATTTTTTTTTTTTTCGCGAACGCTCGGAAGCTCAATCCGCGGTAACATCCCGCGGGTGGTGATCCATCCGCAGAGCAGGGTTCGCTTCCCTTCTGTACGAAACCGTCAGCAATACAGTTTCGCACCAGTTGGGGAAGCGCTTACAGCAAAGGTTTGGTAGGTAAGGGTGTTCGAGATGAGTGCTCGGAAGGAGGGGTAAGAAAAGTCGCCGTGGTGTTTTGTTTGTCCCATCAATGTGAAAGGAGGAGCAGTGTTCATGTAGAGGCAGGGCCTTCCCTTGTAGATCGTTTTGATGGGCGGTGCATTTCGTGCTTCTGCTGTTTTTGTCGCTGCTGCTGCTGCTGCTGCTGCTGCTGCTGCTGCTGCTGCTGCTGCTGCTGCTGCTGCTGCTGCTGCTGCTGCTGGAAGGTCTTGGAAGTATGAACGTGGGGGCGGGGGGGGTATCAATCGTTCATGTTTAGCCATCTGGACAAATCATTTTCCCAGGTGTGTTGTCTAACGTGTGGTGGGTACGTGGGCCAGCAGGAAGGAACAGTCTCGCAAATGAGCAGAGGAATTTATCACGGCACTCGTATTGTTAATTTTTAGCGTGGGGAGGTCTCAGCGCATCTCATGGGCGCAAAGGGAGCCGCCCCCCCCCCCCCCCCCCCCCCCCCCCCCCCCCCCCCCCCCCCCCCCCCCCCCCCCCCCCCCCCCCCCCCCCCCCCCCCCCCCCCCCCCCCCNCTGTCTGCCAGTGTTCGTGCGGAAGAGATCAAGAGCGCACCATTCTTGATTTTGGTCTTTGTTTTCAAGGCTTCTTTTTTTCTCTCGTGTGGTGGTTTCGAACGGGGGGGAGGGTGGAGCGTAAGGCGCGGGTCCCCTTTCCTGGTCATTCTGTGTTTGAGTTCGACATGGCGTGTGGTAGATGGATATGATGTTGGTCATGTTGTCGCCGGCGATATTATTAATAGCGGGAAAAGGTGTGGGTGAACATGTGAACATGTCGCGATTTGTTGGCTCCCAGGGTTAGGTGCGTACATGGGTTGACTTGGGTTCGATGGGCTGGCTCGCTCGGTTAACTTGAGGTTCGTTGTAGAGTAGCCTTGGTTCTGTCGTCGGTTGTTTGGTGTAGTAGATTGTTCTTGGAGAGAAACAGGTAGGTGTCGTCCATCTCTTCGGCGGTCACGCTTTTGGTTCCCTTTTTTTGATGTTGTTGAGATGCTTAGCTTGGTAACTGTAAGAAATCTTTGACCTTGATTTTGTATTGTAGTGACACAGAACCCAACAAATATTTTTGTGTGGTATCTACCCACCCCCATGCCGACTCTCACAGCTCGAATATTACCGTATATGACACAAGATAACAAACCCCCCGGGCCATTTTTTCAAAGCTCGATTACGCCACGAAGGAAGTGGATGTATAGATGAACCAAAACATCTTCGGAAAGCTCTGGACAAGATAACTTCAACCCCACCGTTTCTCGGCGCTGTGACCCTTCCTGTCGTTGAGAAATCGAGACTTGAACATCGGTCCAGGGGGTGTGTTATCTTGTGTCATTAGCGACACTCCACAACCGAGACCATATCCACAGCTGCCGAAAATCTTGGCTCTGGAAACAATCTTCTCTTGTCGACGGATGAGAGTAGTCTAAGGCCAAATCCACCGGCATGTTCAAAGAATCGAGGCGTATATATACAGGTGATGTGAACGACCCTTGCAAGAAAAAAATGTCCGGGCGTTGTTGTTGCAGAAGGATGACATCGATTGCAACTACTGCTGTATTGAGAAAGTTACATCCAACAGTCCGCACAAGGACGATGTATGTATATACCCTTTCGAGATATAAACAAAGCCGTCGAAAGGGATGTGCCCAAGTCTTTTCAGTGAGTGGGAGGAAAACCGGCTGGATACTTCCTTTTTTTAGTTTGTTTGGTGTTTTTGGGTTTGTTTGCCCTGAAGGTGCCATTCTAAACCGCTCGGCCCACGCAAAATCGGGCCGTCTGTTCTTCGTGTACCCTCCTGGTTTTGCGGCACCCTCGACATTAATACGGCCACACGTAGTAGTTGGAGGTAGGTCATTGAATCATTGAAATGTTGAACGCTCGATCGTCACGTGACACGTTGAACGCAGTTCGCTTGGCCTTTCCTCTTACCATCCTGTGGATGATGCAGACTGTTTGTATGAACACAAGAGAAAACTTTTTGTGTTGTGCGGCGCTCTTTCTTCGTGCTTGACTTGACTCCGGTTCCGGTTGGTTCCCCTAAGAACATATGGACAGCAGAAAGAAGAAAAATATAAAGTACAAGACGGGTTAAAATCGACGGCAAAAGCATACTTCAAAGTACAAAAAAAAAAAAAATCGTGACCATAAACAAGCTTTGGAAGAGCAACAACAGCAGCAGCAGCAGCAGCAGTGACAAACGTAGTGTTTGGTGAGTGAATATACGAGGTCCGAACAACGACAACAACAGCAGAAAGTATGGTAAGACGGAAGTTCATCGCCTCCTGGCCTGTCTCTCCACTCATTCCGAACGCCGGAGGACACCAGCTCAAGCATGTAAACGAACACGCGCAGAGCGGACTCATCGGCCTTTGAAGCCCCCATTCCACTCCACAAAAGAACATGAATACATACGGATTGGTCGGCGGGCGTCTGCCTCTTCTTTCCGACCGCCCCCGCCCGCCTTCTACTACACGCACGTGCAAGTCGACACTGTAGATGCCGAATTCCGCGCCAACTCCCCACCTCGTGAAAAAAAAAACATAATTCCAACCCCTACCCGACTTTGTCCTCTACGTGATGCTGTGCATACCGTGTCGTGTTGTACGTGAGTGTGTATGGTGTCTTCAGCACTAGCATCGACCGTCATGACCAATGAGAAAACGTCCGTCTACGTAGTATGCATGTAAGCGCGGCTGAAAACAGACGGCGCTTCGAAAGGCACATTTGATCCGTGACCACATTTGAGGGCCACCCTAGACCCTAGATCACGGCCCGTGTGTATGAGTTTGTGCGTGTGCTACACGAATACATGTACCCCATACCACCCCCGGGGATACGCGGCAGACACCCGTTTGACCTACGCCCCCGACCGTAGATCGAGTAGTCCACTACTCAGAAGCCCTCACACCCGATACCCTTCCATCCCAGCCAATCAGCGGCTACCCTTGATACATAATTAGCCTAACTCTTCTGGCAAACTCAAACTCCCTGGGTCACTACGATAGGATATTTCACACCCGGCCGGTAATCCTCCCATCCCAGCCAATCTGCGGTAAACCCTTGAAAACCCAACAACTCCTCTGGCAAACTCCCTTCCATGTTTGAGGAATCTAGGGTACCTGGACACTAATATACGGATAGGTTTGCTTGGTACCTACCATTGGTGTTTGGTGATAGAGAGGGAGGGCATCAAGGGAACGCTGCTTCTAGTGCGCGCCCTGTCTGCTACACGGGGTGCACCATATGGGAGGCGATGTCGCCAACAGTAAACAACGTAGGCTACCGACAAGGGTTGAGTGTGGCAGGGAAAATGACAAGACAGAGTGGATGGATCGAAAAACTACAGCACCCGCAACCAACTTTCCGCTTGACAAATCTCACGGCAACAACTCTCGGAACATATCCTTGGTCACCACGTGTGTGCGTTGTCTTACACCTACTGCTTTGAGGGGGACTAAAGAACAAGGAAATACACCATGTGCCCTACATACATCACAGCAGTTATCTACCATCTATGCCACCGAAGGACGCCAGCCATCAACCAACTCGTCAGCACCACAACGCTCCAAACGTCTCTGCCAAAGTCGCCCCTCTGGTGAAGGGTCCGTACCCACTCCTCCTGCCAACCAAAGAGGGCAACGACATCACAACCTCCAACACCACTCCTACGAGGGTCATGAATGGTAAACCAACGCGACCCTGAAGGCACGCCAACCTGAAGGCACCAACCCCGGTGGTCTGGTGGTATCCTCGTAATCCGCTAGTCGCAGAGGTCGTGAGTTCGAATCCCCATGGGGTGAAAAATTCACGAAACGTGCGGGTGAAGGCGAAATATAATTGACAAGCTCTCGTGAGTACCAAACTTCGACGTTAGGACCGTTGACGAGGGAAAGGGACGGCTGGACCCTTCTCGCGATAAAAATAAAATTCAGCACGCACCGCAGGAGGAAGGTGGGGCATGAAAAGAAGTAAAAAGAAGAAGAAATCCCTGGTGTATACCCACTCCTGTGTGACCCTGCATGGTTGTAGTTGTACGAAAAAATACACTGAAAAGTGTAGAACTCTACATACGCTGAAAAGTATAGTACACGTCTCACCACGAAAAAGGGGGGGATTGTCGCCACAATAATTAGGACGCAAACACACACACACACACATCAACCCGACCTATATACCTCCCGGCCCAACCAGGCGCGAAGCAACTGTGTCACGGTGGCCAAACATCGCGCTCGCCCCCGCTCCGCCCGAATCACCCTCACTATTCATGGAAATACTAACAACAACACACCTCTCCCTCCTCCCCCGCCTCTACAACAAGCACCACGACCCTCCCCGTATCCACATGAAAAAAACACAACACAAAAAAAAAAAGACGAGCAAGAACAAAAAATCCGTCGTGGTGTTCACCATTGCGGCCCCCCCCCCCCATGACACCCACCACGACCTCCCCTCCCCCCAGTATCCACAAGAAAAAAACGAACAAAACAGTGAACAAAGAAGAGAGCGGGAAGGAAAAGAAATGACAACCAAACAACAACTGAACAACGGAAAAAAAAAATCATCAGGCGTCGCGGCCGTCACCGCTGGACTCGAACCCGGGTTTCTCGCCACGGCTGCCACCCCCATGGTCGTCTTGCGCACGGAACCCGTGGCCTAGCATCATCGCGTGCGTGGACTCCATGAAGCTCGCCTTCCCCAGCGCCTCCTCCGTTTCTCGGTAGGCTGCTTCCGCGTGGCGACGGTCATTGCCGACGCCGCCGCCGCCGCGGTTGTGGCTGTTGTTGCCCTTGCCATCGTAGGCCTCCTCGTAAGCCTGGGACAGCAGGTAGGTCGACTTGACCTCGGGCAAATCGGCGAGCACATCCAGCTGAACGAAGTTGCTCCCACCCTCATCGTCGTCGTCATCGTCTTCGCCATTCAGCACGGCTTCGAGAGCGTCGATGGAGCCGCCGCCGCCGCCTTCAACAAGACCGGGAAACCCTCCCCGGCTGCTCGCAGACGGCCTGCTACCGGCTTCCCAGGGTCCGGCGGCGTTCGGAAGCACCGTCGCCAAAGACGACGACGAAGACGAAACCGTCGTAGCAGGTGGAGGCGTTCCCGCCACGGGGGCTCCGCCGACCATCGACCCTCCCCCTCTCGATGGCACCATCTGCGCGGGCAACGCCGCCGCCTGCTGGTGCCTCATGTCCAGCATCGAGGGCGTCACGATGGGGTCCATGTCCGCGCACAGGGTCGCGCCGTCGAGGTCATCCGAGAACGTGACGGGAGAAGCGGCGCCGTCTGCCGTGCACGGCGAGTTGCTGACAGCCGTAGGAGGAGCAGGAGAACGATGACGCCAGGCCGCCGCCGCCTCCGCTTCTGCCGCGGCCGCCGCGGCCGCCACCGCCGCCGCCTGCTGAAGGTACCTGCGGTCGCTGCCATTGGTCGCGTGGGATAGAGGCTCTTCATTGAAGCCTGACCCACTCACCCCTCCTTCCTTGAAGCCTGACCCACTCACCACCCCTCCGCCACCATCGTTAGGGTGGAATCCCCCTTCTCCTATCCCCACCGCATAGGCTGGTGCTGGTGCTGCTGGTGCTGCTGGCGCTGCTGGCGCCACTGGTAACCCCACAGGCACGCCTCCATCGTGGACCTTCCTCCCGTTGTGACCGTGCACATGGCCGAGCGTTGCCTGCTGTGGTTGCTGGTGCTGGTGCTGCTGCGGCCGCGGTGGCTGCGGTGGCTGCGGCTGTTGCTCCTGTGGCTGTGACTGTAGCGATGGTTTTTTGCCGAAACGATTTTCGATAGCCCTGTTGCGACAGAAAGAGAGGGAGGCGGGGAGAGAGAGGGGGGGGAGAGCGAGAG